ACTGAAGCAAAATGTGTGAAGGGAAAGTAGTAGTAGATCTGAGAGGTAACAGAAGCAGTCAAGACCATATAACCAAGGCTTTGTAGGTCATTGGAAAATATGTTGGCTTTAATCTGAGTGAAATGGGAGTTGCTGCAAGGTGTTGGCTTTCAAAGAAGGATCTGTCTGCATGCTGTATTTAGAATAGATGGAGCAAGGCAAGGATAGATGCTAAGAAACTAGGTATGACACAATGCCAGTAAACCAAGCAGAGATGATGTGGCTTGGGCCATGGGTTGGTGAGTAGTTAAATTCTGCATATATTTTTGAAAGTAGACTTCAATAGGATTTCATGACAGATTGGATGTGGAATGTGAGAGAAAAAGAAATCAAGGTTTCGGCCTGAGGAACTAGAAAGATGAAATTCCTGTCAATTGAGTTGTAAAATGCTGCAAGAAGAATAGGCCTGCTGGGAATACTGGGATTTGGGTTTGGGACATAGAGTTTGCCATGACTCTTTGGCACCTGATTGGAGGTGTCAGAATGGTTGTTGATCATGTATACGCAGGGCTTATGAGACTACATTGAATACATCTGGGCTACAGATGGAGTTGTCAGCATGTTGTATTAGAAGCTGTGAGGCTCAATGAGATTCTAGTGAATGGGTATAGATAAAGTAGTGAGGGCCAGGACTCAAGCCCTCCAGAATTAAGAGAGCAAAAAGGGAAAAAATGGAATTACAGGGAGAGATGGGGAAGAAGTGGCCACCAAATAAAATGTCCTAAAAACCAAGAGAAGGAAATGTATCGAGTAAAGTGAAAAATAGTGTCAAATGCTGTTAAACGGTCAAGTAAGACAAAGACTGAAAATTTACCATTGAATTTCACAACTAGAGATCATCAGTGACCTTAATGAGAACATATCTGGTGTGTGGTAATGATTCAAGCCTGGTTTAAGTAGCTTAAGATAGAATGCTAGAAGAAGACTTGGAAATAGTGAGGAAAGCCAGCTCTTGAAGTTCCTGCCCAGGGTGGCAAAAGTGAGGTCAAGCTGAGAGTTTGGTGGTGGTGGTGGTGTCTGTGTTGGCTTGGAGTTGGGGGAAATAACAGTATGGTTGCACATAGATGGAAATGATCCAGTAGACAGGGACTAGATTAATGTTTCAGGAAAGATATGAAGAATTCCTTGAGCAGTTTTGTTGGGCTGGCAAATGGCCATAACATCTAGTATCCAAGCGGAAGATTTGGCTTCAGAGACATCAGGTATTTTTCATGCACGGGAACAGACATGTTGAGGGTACAAATGCTGGTGGGAGAGATAGATGGAGTATTGAGACCCTGTGCAAAATCCCCCTTTGACTGCCTCAGTTTTCTTCAAGAAGTAAGAAGCAACATTATCACATAAAATATCAAAAATTATTCAAAAGAAAATAAAGCCCAAATATATGTCTCTACAAATATGTATTCAAAAAATAAAACAAAGCCAAACACAATATAAAAAGTATGCAATAAATGTTTCATTTTAGGAGTTTTCTTAAATGAACTGAATTGACTGAGGTTTTAAAATAGAGATGTAATGTCTTTTCAACTAGGACCCCTTCTTTTCCTGGTAAATGTCTCGGTATTGAGCAGGCATTCTTCATTGCTCCACTAACCTTCAAAATTGTTCAAATTAGGGGTATTTGTATAGAATCGTTTTATTTGCCAATTCAATGTGTATGAATGTCTATAATATTTTTTAGATGGTGAATGGGTGGAGTAGTTTCCATGGGAATTCTTCTAAAGTGATCTCTTGCTCTCCATTTCATCAAGATGGCTGACCTCTACCATCTTGTCAGTGTTGTCATTTGGCACTTTTCAAGATATTGGCTGCAGTTCTTTAACAGATATTAATAGGAGTTTTAGCCATTCTTATTTAAGATAAGGTCCTAAACTTAATTGGAGAGAGGAAGCACACATATGATTAAAAAAAACAAGAGAACTAGTAGACCCTTTAATTTAATCTAAATTATGTTTCCTCCCCGGGGTCATTCATATATATATATATATATATATATATATATATATATATATATAACCTTCTGGAGGATTGAAATTATATCTTAGTGCTTTTCTTTAAACAAAATTTATAAAACACAATTCAGAAGGCATTGCATAAATGTTTTGCAAAGATAATAAAACATGTTTAAAAAATACTTAGTGGGAGGTTTTCATATTGGTGAATCAAGTATGTTTGAAGCAAAAGAATAACCATAAATAACATTGAACTCAGAGGAGCACCTGGGTGCCTCAGTGGTTGAGCATCTGCTTCTGTCTCAGGGCATGATCCCAGGGTTCTGGGCTGGAGTCTCACATCGGGCTTCCCACAGGGAACCTGCTTCTGCCTCTGCCTATGTCTCTGCCTCTCTCTGTGTGTCTCTCATGAATAAATAAATAAAATAAAAACAACATTGAAGTCAGAGGATTGTAGGGGAAATGAAATGGGATTTCCCATGTAAAGTGTTTATTATAGCACATTTCTCATGGTAAGTGTCCAATAAATTACGCACTAGGTATAAGGTGATGTGGTTCCTTAAGAAAGGTACAATAAAATTGTCAAAATTAGGGAGCTATTCTTAGTTAGCTGTGTATTTTTTGGTCGGGGGGAGGGTGGCGGAAGGCTACCATAGCCCCACATTACCTCATTGAGGAGCAGTGTTTAGCAGTAGAACCATATAAGGATCAAATCACAAGAAACAATTATTTAGTGTTATGTGCAAGACACTAGAGTAAGTACCTGAAATATACCTTTTATTTGGTCCTTATAATAGACCTACACAGTAAGTTGTATTAATTGTGTAGATGAGGAAATTGAACTGGGGAGACATGATGAAGGGTTACAATGGGCAAGCTCTCTGCAAATTGCTAAGTAAATTAAAATACTGAGCTGCCCCATGAGAGAGCAAAATCTGCACCAAGATCACTATGTGATTTGACTCCTAAGTCCACACTCACCCTTCTACTACTATGCTACTATTGAATCGCTCATCTACATCCAACGCAGATTCAAGTGCATATTGCTGGCTTGGTCAGAATCAAGGAGTCCATGTACTTTGCTATCCATCATGGGACTCAGTTTATGCTTCTGAACATGGATATAGAAATGGTATTAATAGAGATGGAAGACCATAGGAAACTCTCACCTTCTATCCCGTGAGAGAAAAAGCTCTTCCCATTCCTGAAAGCTATCGTATAGTTTCTTTAGAACCTGGCTGTGTTTCAAACTCGTATTGTACTGGTGGATGAACCAAAAAATTTTCTTCCTACAGGAATGCCAAAGTGAAAAAAAAAATGAAAACAAAACAAAACAAAACAAAAAACCCAACAACAACAAAAAAAGAAAACCCCACCTAATTTTTAAGATTTTCCTACTGAGAACAAAGGAAAATCAAGAACAATAACTTTTTTTTTTTTTTAAGAGGAAAACCAAATGGTGGTAACTTGGTTTTAACAGCGTTTAATTCTTTGGAATTCTCCAAACTAACCAACACTCCCTTCTTTCGTTCATGGTAATCAGTTGTTTAACACTAAGAAGCTCCATTTATGAATGAAGGAGAACAGTTTGGCAGAACAACTTACAAATACAATATTTAGTTCATGAATGTTATGTAAATGCAATAAATTCATCAAATAATGAATACATAGGCAGCCCAGGAGGCTCAGCGGTTTAGCGCCACCTTCAGCCCAGGACGTGATCCTGGAGACCTGGGATCAAGTCCCACGTCGGGCTCCCTGCATGGAGCCTGCTTCTCCCTCTGCCTGTATCTCTGCCTCTCTCTCTCTCTCTCTTTCTCTGTCTCTCATGAATAAATGGATACATCTTAAAAAAAATGAATGCATACAACATAATATTTTGTACCTGAGTTTATTCCAGAACAAAAAAGAAGTCAATACAAGCATTTTGAAAAAAAGTTAAAGTAGAAATATCAACTCTCCAGTTTTCAACCCTCTTAAATATCTTAAGATGTGAAACTATAAACTCTCTGTTCCATCTATAGTTGGCCACCTAAAATAGGAAAAAGGATGCCAGAGCATCAAATGGGTTTTTTTCTTTTTATAACCTAGATGGGAGATGGGAAGTTCTCATTTGGGAAGGGGCAGGAGCACTGCCGGGGTTTCCATCGTGAGTTTAGTATGAGAATAACTATGTACAACCATATGATGGATTTACACTTTCAATAGAGAAAAAAAATGTTCATTCATGTCTACAAAGACCAGTTTAGAACAGGAGAAGCTGCTGTTAATTGAAGTACAGATCTTAATGGCTAAAAGGGTTGATAAAGATAGAAATAGTTACTAAGAGGAACTGTGAGTTTCTTTTTCTCCAAAGAATTTTAAAAATCTACTTAGCCTGCTTCTCTGATAACCTAAGGGCTCTTCCACTGGGAGACCGACTTTGGCACTGATGATTCTCGTGAGGGCACCAGGGTCCCATGGAAGTCTTCCCTCCTCCTTATCCCTCTCAGCACTTGCTTATATTGTGTATACCTTGTATACATTATGCTACAAGTGAAGCTTGCTTGGCTCTTCCTCATGCCCAAGAGCCAGCTCACTTGTCCCTTTTGGCTGATTGCAGAAGGCCTGAAATCCCTTGAGAGAGAGGAAGAGAAAGAAGAAGAAGGCAAAGACCCAACCCAGCTTCCTCCAACTTTCATCCATTTCTTCTGAGGATGCTGTGACTCATCCCTGAGTTCTCCACCCTCAAGCAACTTCCACCAAATCACAGCCCCCCAGATTCATTGTTGAACAATTTCCTTAGTGGTATAATCTTGTTCTGAGATTACAGGGAATGATGATTTTATTAGAGTTCTTTCAACAAACTCATTTAATTATTGTTGCCCCTTGGCAAGTGCCGTGTCACCCTCTGTGCTCCATGACATTCCACGAACACCTCATCCTGCATTACTTTCCTTCCTTCTTTTTTTATAAGTCCTCCTTTTGTTTAGTTTAGAACAAGTCCTCCTTTTTTTTTTTCCCCAACAGACTTGTCTTGGAAAAGATGGAGAAGAGCCAGTCAACTTGGCTTCCTTGCTTCTGCTCATGTGAGTATCACTTATATTTCTAACTATTATGCAAGTGTTATTAAAGCTCTGTATTTCTCCAGGTTTCTGTGGAGGAACTGCCTTGTTTGATCTTTGCGATGCTGGCACTCTTTTAGAATTAACCATGGAAAAACTTGATGACACTTCCGTGGTTCTTATAAAATTCATCTTAGGGGTAATTTTACGGTGTGTGTTTTCCCCCTTGAATGTTTAAGAGAGCTGGATTTCTGTCTCTTTGTGGAGCATTCTAGCAGCTGTGTCTCATTTGCTTTGCAAGGGCATCGGAAGAAATTGCTATTTTGGAAGCTTCTTAACATATGGGATAATTGTATAAAGCACTTTACAGTTTGCCTAGTGCTTTCCCATTATTTTACACAGTTCATTTCTCAAAGAAGCCCAGGACATGCTGTTTACATTTTTCGGAGAGAGAGAAATAGAGGTCCTGAAGAAGTAACAGAAGCTTGTCAGGGCAATTTATCTCACTCTGGAATTAATCAACAGATTAAAATCTCTTCTTTCAGATCCCTTGTTACCTATGACCAGAAAGCCTCCTGCCTTGGGGCACCAGGGTAACTCAGTCAGTTAAGCATCCAACTCGTGATTTTGGCTCAGATCATGATCTCAGGGTTGTGAGATTGAGCCCTGCGTCAGGCTCTGTACTAAGCGAGGAGTCTGTTTCTCCCTCTCCCTCTGCTCCTCCCCCTGCTCACACTCTCTCTCTCTCTCTCTCTCTCAAACAAATAAATAAAATCTTAAAAAAAAAAAAAAGGAAGCCAGGGTGCCTGAGTGGCTTATTCTGTTGGCTGACTCTTGATTTCAGCTCAGGTCGAGATCTCAGGGTCCTGGGATTAAACCCTGTGTTGGGCTCCATGCTCAGTGCACAGTCTGCTTGTCTCTCTCCCTCTACCCCTCCCCCAACTTGAGAACTCTCTCTCTTTTTCTCTCTCAAATAGATTTTTAAAATCTTAAAAAAAATCTTCATGCCCTTTGAAATAAACATGTAGATGGACACACCTGCTACACATCTGCAGAATGTGTAACCTGGCTAGTGTTAGGTCTGCCCTAGCCAAGAGCTGTCTGAATGACTGGACATGGGCAACAGGGCTGTTTAGCTCTGTTATTAACAGTGATAGAGTGGATGGCTCAAAGCACCAGTTTTGAGATCAGACTGCCTAGGTTTAAGTCCAACTTCCAACCTTTCTCAGCTGTGGGACATTGGATGAGTCACTTAACCTTTCTCAGACTCATTTTTCTTATCTGTCAAATGGGGGCATTCATTACTACCTCATGGGATTAGTGTGAGGCTGAACTGACCTCATCCATGTAAGGCTCTAAGCACACTGCCTGGCACACGCAGTGAGCTCTCAGCAAATATTAGCAAGTACCATGTTGTGGTTCCAAAGGTGGCCACCTGGTCATTCTTTCCTAAGGTTCATTGCAGTTGATTTGTTTCATGAAATGACACCTATGGCCCAGTCAGGACTGGACATAGTTGGTAGACTTAAGGGGAGGTTTATGGGGCAGAGAGAACTTACACTAGTGTTTGTGCTGCTTTTAAGAGCTGTGGTATTTATAACTTCTCTCTGTCATTTTCTTCAAAATACAAATGGCAGTGTTGCTCCTCTTGAATAATGTGGAAAACCCACAAAGGGCCCAGGACACTCATACCCACAGTATATCAGTCTAGGATGTTTCGGATGGTAGCACACAGCAAAGACAAAAGATGACCTTGGTTTTCTTACCATTCCAGTGAGAGTAGGATGTAGAGGAAAGAGCAGGGATGTGCCTAGCTGTGAATGTGCTGTTGCTGGAATACAGAGACTGAGTCCTGCATCTCTGTCAGTCTACTGGGTATACTGAGCAAAGCGCTTTGTTGTTCTGTGCCTCAGTTTTCCCAATTACAAATGATAATTATTAACATCCACAGAATACCAGTTTGTACCCTAATTGATGGGGCTTTTGCATGGTGGTTGCCATGTCCTGGGAAGCCCTTCAGTCCCATGAACACTGGGATTGTTCATGCCCTAAATATTTGCCTCTCAGCTGATCATGTTCACCATAAGAACAGTGGATATAAAGGTGCTTTGACATTTCATGAACAGCAACAATCAACTCAATTCTGAACACCTGGGGTCCTGAAATAGCACTTTGGGTTACTGAAAGAAAAAGATGGCAATAATACAGTATATCATTCCTCAAGTGAGAATATCACACTTTATTTTTTTTTTAAATTTATTTATGATAGTCACAGAGAGAGAGAGAGAGGGGCAGAGACACAGGTAGAGGGGGAAGCAGGCTCCATGCACTGGGAGCCCGACGTGGGACTCGATCCCGAGGCTCCAGGATCGCGCCCTGGGCCAAAAGCAGGTGCCAAACCGCTGCGCCACCCAGGGATCCCGAGAATATCACACTTTAATTCTTTTATAAGCTGCTTAGATATATGTAATGTGACTGGAAAATTCCATTAATGGATACACCATGCTTTACATCATTCTTGTGTGTTTAAACACATGTAATTGAAGGCATATACAAGCATACACAGAACAGTTAAGACAACTACTTTCTGGTCATGACAGATTATTTGCATTGGAAAGACCTCATTTGAAACATTTGTATTTCGCGAAAAGTTCTGTTTTGCACCCAAGGCGTATTTTTGAAATAAATTGATTAGTGATTTGTCTTAGAAAACTTCAAAGGAAAACAGACTAGTCTGGGGAAAATGACATAACTGACCATCTATCTGGTATCTGCAAAATAAGTACACACCAAAGGCTAACACTCCATTGCTAGGAATTAACCCGAGGCAGCATCTGTGTTCAATAGATGTGAAAAAATATTACCCAATGTGCACATAGGAGAATTAGAGCAGTTTCAAAAAAAATATTCATTTAGTTTTCTTTCATATTATATAGATTGCACTTGAGAGGAAATTCAAAATGTACAAGCATGCAATTGCTTGAAAATTCAAATTTTTTCATTGACTCTTGTGTTTTTACCTAGAGGCATCCAACCAGAATCCAAGCCAATGTAATATCTAGAAATGCCAAAGTGAAGCTTCTTGTAGACATGCATAACAAGATAAATAATACATAAATAGTACGTACTAGTAAAAGCATAAAAACGAGTAAGTCTGGTCCAACTCAGTTGCTTATATTAAAAAAGAGAAGTAGTATTTATTTTAAAAAATAGACTTTTAAAATATAGCAGCTTGTTTTCTGGTTGCCTTAAAATGGGACATGTAAGCCTTTGAGAAAGATCTTAAGATACTTGAAGACTCGAATGCTTTTTCCTTATCCCAGAGGACCTATTGCGGCCTAGGGTGCATGGCGGGCACTCAGTAAAACCTTGTTAACTTACAGTGAATGTTCTACGTATTAGTAATAATTCAAAATAACATGATGAAACTGGAGTGAAAAGGGCATGGTCCACCAGTCCACATTCAACTTTTCCCCAAGGAATCAACTACTTTACCTCTCAGACAGAAGCAAAGAACTCATTCAAAAGCAGGGCTGAAGGCTGTTGGAGTTATTGTTGTTTACATTGCCTGGGACAGAGGAGTAATTATGTTGGCTTCAAAGGCCTTTTCTTCTACCTCCCATCATGGCATGCAAGTGCGGGAAGAAGCCTTCATTCTGCTCCTGTGTTTCACAAATGGAAACCTAGAGGAGGGACCAATTTGCCCAAGGCCACAGATTCAAACCTTCCCAGATATTTCTTAATCCAAATTTAATTTCTCCACATCTCACCAAATAGAGCTATAGATAATTTTCATGGCGCTTTTTTTCAGTTTAGGAGATGCCCTCTGCCCTATGTCCTGCCCTCCCATCCATTGTTACATCCTGCCATCCCAACCCCACTACTCCTTTAAGAACTCTGCTTTCTTCTATCACCTTCAAATGGCATGTTCTTTGCCCTCCGACAACATGCTTGAACCTCTACTCCAAGGTCTTAGGCTACACGAATCTTCTAGTTTACCCTAGTGCTATATAAATATAAGGGCCTTCATCCCACACAGCCTTTGATAGAGCGATGCATAGCTCCAGGCTTTTACTTATTTCTTTCAGGCTTCAGTAATGTGAGTCAAGGCTTTTGCTTTATGGTTAATTTAGCTGATGATGAGAGCAAGCTGAAACTCGTGAGGATAGACAGAGCTGGAGCAAACCGAGGTCATAGCTTGAACAGAACCTCCAAGAAGACAGATTGTCTGTGGCTCTTAGAGCTTCCTTCCCCTGACAGTAGTGATGCGGACCAAAAGTAGAAAAATGACAGTCTCTTATGAGGGGCACGTGAGGGCGCAAAGATTTTTCAAAGCTCGGCCCCACAGAGAGGAAATCTGGCTGATATTTATTCAGGCCCCTTCCTTTTAAATCTTGATTACCCTTGGCTCAGTTGGTGCTGAAACTTATGCACGAGCGACAGGTGATTCTTATGTAAGAATGGAATCTCGGGCGTGATAAATTTGGTCTTGAGAAATCTCAGTTCAGTTGCTGCAGATGGCAGTGTCATGATGGCAGAGTTGGAGAGAGGCATCCTGCCGGGCTGTGGGCTGTCTGCGAGATGGCTACTCAGTTCAGAACTGTCTGAGCCAATTCCTTGAGGCTCAAGGTCATGACCAAGGGATACAGCCCAGCTGCAGGGTTGACATTCATTCTAGCAACATTTTTCCCTACTTCCCTAGACACTGCTGCTGACTCATTCCCACTCACAGGTCCAGAAAGAATCAGGTTGCAACCTGTGTTCTTTGTGAATATCTTTATAATTTGGGGTCTCTACCATAATTAGCCTCTGTTGGGGGGTGAATTCTGTGCTTGTCAAAAATTGCTTACACTATAGCATTTGCACAATCTGGTTGCTTTGGCCAAGGAGACATTTCTGCCCACCTCATTCCTGGCAGGTCCTGCAACTTTCAGGGCACAGGTTTTTAGCCTTAGTTTTGAGGAGTCTGTAAATCCCCTCAAACTGCATCTACACCCAAAAACTGTGTGTATATATATATATTC